ATGCAATGTTTTAATTTCTTTCTCTAATTGTTTTCGGAGAGGCCGTTTGAAGGCAACTCCCAGAATCCCCTTCAGTGGCTGCATTTCTGGTCCTCCAGGAGATCTTTGTGGGATGGGAGGATTGTAGACTCCAGTGTTCTTGCTGTTCAGAACTGAGATAGATAGAAGGACCCACTGAGGCTTGGATTAAAACCAGTCGATGGACAAATGGAAAGGGGAAAGGACATGCCTGAATTACAATTACAAGTTTCCTCTTGTAAAAGGAGATTCTTTTTTTCCATGACCTGAAGATACTTCGTCGAGTTTTCTTCAGCTGTTTCTCTCTCTCTCTCCCCCCCCCCACCTCTCCCTGTGTTCCCACAGGCCTTCTTCTAAAATGAAGATGATTGTGCAAACCAATTTGCTATGGTTCTTTCTTCCTTGACAGATATTTCTTTTAGAGGAACTGTGAATTAATTAAAAAAGGGGAAATTGGAGATTTGTAGGGAACATTAACCGCTCCATTATTATTCATGAAGTCCACGGGTGACTTCAGCGTTGGGGTTCGGACGCAGAGAAAACTTCGCTTCTTAGAATTGGGTGACAGAAGGAGACGCACCACTTCGGCAGGGCTCTTAACAGGGTAGGGCAGAGATGGCGAACCTTTTAGACGCCGACTGCCCAAACGGCGTGTGTGCACCAGGGGTGAAATCCAGCAGGTTCTGACAGGTTCTGGCGAACCGGTAGCAGAAATTTTGAGTAGTTCAGAGAACTGGCAAATGCCACCTCTGGCTGGCCCCAGAGTGGGGTGGGAATGGGAATTTTGCAGTATCCTTCCCCTGGAGTGGGTGGGAATGGGGATTTTGCAGTATCCTTCTCCTGGAGTGGGGTGGGAATGGGGGTTTTGCAGTATCCTTCCCCTGGAGTGGGGTGGGAAAGGGGATTTTTGCAGTATCCTTCCCCTGGAGTGGGGTGGGAATGGGGGTTTTGCAGTATCCTTCCCCTGGAGTGGGGAGGGAATGGGGATTTTGCAGTATCCTTCCCCTGGTGGGGTGGAATGAGGATTTTGCAGTATCCACCCCTGAGTGGTGGGAATGGGGTTTTTGCAGTATCCTCCCCTGGAGTGGGTGGGAAGGGATTTTGCAGTATCCTTCCCTGGAGTGGGGTGGGAATGGGGATTTTGCAGTATCCTTCCCTGGAGTGGGGTGGGAACGGGGATTTTGTAATATCCTTCCCCTGGAGTGGGGTGGGAATGGGGATTTTGCAGTATCCTTCCCCTGGAGTGGGGAGGGAATGGGGATTTTGCAGTATCCTTCCCCTGGAGTGGGGTGGGAATGGGGATTTTGCAGTATCCTTCCCCTGGAGTGGGGGGGAATGGGGATTTTGCAGTATCCTTCCCCTGGAGTGGGGTGGGAACGGGGATTTTGCAGTATCCTTCCCCTGGAGTGGGGTGAGAATGGGGATTTTGCAGTATCCTTCCCCTGCCACGCCCACCAAGGCACACCATGCCCACAGAACCGGTAGTAAAAAAATTTGAATTTCACCACTGGTGTGTGGTTATGCCCAAACTAAACATGTGCGAATATGTGCATGTGTGGAGATGCACAAACGTGCGCCTGTGCAGACATGCGCAGCAGAGACCCGAAGACCAGCTGGACGACGGGGCATCCCAATACCGGCAGCGCGGCAAGAGGTAAGATCTTTTTCTTTCGTGAGCTTCTGTTTCGTCGTTTGCACCGAGACGGAAGTTCACGAAAGAAACGCCGTGGAGATCTGACCTGGGGCAACGGCGCGCGTGCCAGCAGAGAGGGCTCTGGGTGCCATCTCTGGCACACATGCCACTGGTTCTCCATCAGGGGGTTGAGTCCCCTAAATGGCTGCAAACCCTTTTTCAAACCACGAGTATACAGGTAGTCCTCGACTTAACAGCAGTTCATTTAGTGACCGTTCAAAGTTACAACGGCATTGAAAAATGCAACATATGACCGTTGCTTATAATTATTATTTATTTTATTTTATTATTCATATTTCTATGCTGCCCACTCTCCGAGGACTCTGGGCGGCTTACACCAAAGATAGTATACTAAATAGCATATTGCCCCCAACAATCTGGGTCCTCATTTTACCCACCTCGGAAGGATGGAAGGCTGAGTCAACCTTGAGCCAGTAAGATTTGATCTGCTGATCTGCTGAACTAGCAGTCAGCTGAAGTGGCTGCAGTACAGCACTCTAACCACTGCGCCACCTCGGCTTATACGACCGTTGTAGCAACTCCATGGTCACGTGATCAAAATTCAGGCGGTTGGCAATTGGTTCCCATTTATGACGGTTGCAGCCATCCCCTTTTGCGACCTTCTGACAAGCAAAGTCAACGGGGAAGCCAGATTCACTTAACAACCGTGTTGCTAACTTAACAACTGCCGTGAGTCATTTAACAATGGTGGCAAGAAAGATCGTAAAATGGGATAAAACTCACTTAACAACTGTCTCGCTTAGCGATGGAAATTTTGGGATCCATTGTGGAACGTAAGTCAAGGACTACCTGTAATGTTTGTAAGATGAGTGGCTATATACATTTTCCAAATAAATAAACCATGAAATCAATTTTTTTTTAAAAAAATCAGCCTCCTTTATAAAAAAAATAATAACTGGGTACGTTCTCCTTAGGCATCGACTTTATGACATTTTGCAAGTTAAAAACAAACAAACTTCATTTACGCCCGTTAATGCAGATTTAGAAAACTTGTTTGACGTTTGATAGATATGCGTTTTACTCTACGCCTCAATAGTTTCTGCCTTCTTTGTGGTTTTATTTCTCTGTTGGCTTTTGTTAAGTTGGTTATTGGATTTCCTTGGTTTCTTCTGCATACGTTTTGCTTTTTTTTTTCCCCTCCCTTTTTAAAAAATATTTCTTTCTGCAAAGCAAATAAATAAACGCACTTAGAAATATAGCCGAACCTAGATGGTGCAGGAAGTTAATAGCTTTCCTGGTTGCAACCCTGGCTTAATCACCACTTCTGCGAAGAAATCCTGCTTTTAAAGCGTTGAAGTATTTCATCGGAGACATTCGGTGTGTCTTCTTCTGGCTGATCTTCCTATCTTTTTTCTCTCTTGTTTTGCAACTTGTGTAAAGATCACCCTGGAGGCCTCTCAATTTCAGACGTTGCCTGGGCTGAAATCTGCTTAGCTTTAATAAAAGAAGCAAGATTTCACACACACGCAAACACACACACACAAGACTATAAAACGATAAGTTGTGCAGAATTGCAACTGGAGCGATGTTCCACTTTGACCTTCCTTTCACAGTTTATTGTTAAAGACTAGCCAGAAGGTAAAACTACTAAATGACGGATTCTGGTTATAAATTACAAATTTGGGGTTTTCCTCCCTAGTCTTACGAATTTATATCGGTGGGTACACATCCCTCACACCCAAGTCAGGATTAGATTTTTGGCTCCCTGGCAAGCTGATACGTGCCTGCCTGTGGGAATTAAAAATAAAGTTTAGAACATTTGGATGAGCACGGGTATGATTATTTTTAAAAAAAAAACAAAACCAACAATAGCTAAAAAAAAGCTCTGATGTAAATTCTGGCAGCACAGGACTTAACATGCCACGATCATTACAAGCGCCATAAATAAAATTTCCCTGTTCTCGGTGACTCCCCCACTGCTTTCTAAATACGGCCTCCAATCTGTGCTCTTCCCTTTATTTCATGGAGTGACATTCAGGAGGAGATACTGTATTAACCTTTCCAGGAAACACAAAACTATCCCTTGGCCCTTTTGGTATATACAGAGTCACTCTTCATCCCTCCTGGGCCTGAGTGCCAGCGGATGGATTTGGGCCAGGTGATATTTGGTTGGCCCATCAACCTATTTTTAAAAACCAGGCGTGTTTTTATCATGTGTGTAGTCAAGAGGACATTAAAAATGCACAATGCCTGTGCTCTACATGGGGACAGAAAATGAAAAGATCTTCCTTCCTTCCTTCCTTCCTTCCTTCCTTCCTTCCTTCCTTCCTTCCTTCCTTCCTTCCTTTCCCTCTCTCCCTCTCTTCTCCTTCCTTCCTTGCTTCCCTCCCTCCCTTCTTTCCTTACTTCTCCTCCTCCTCCCTCCCTTCCATGATGCAAAACTAATTTATTTAACAGCATCATTTCCACAGAGCTATACAGGTAGGCCTCATTTAGCAACCGACTTGCTTAGTGACAATCTGCAATTACGATGATGATAACAAAGTAACTTTTCAGCTGCCTGCGTTTACAAGTTTTGCAAGTCGGTAAAGCAAAGCAAAGCTGTAGGATTGTTAGCACAGCTGTGGTTTTCCTTCCTTCCTTCCTTCCTTCCTTCCTTCCTTCCTTCCTTCCTTCCTTCCTTCCTTCCTTCCTTCCTTCCTTCCTTCTTTCCTTCCTTCCTTCCTTCTTTCCTCCCTCCCTCCCTCCCTCCCTCCCATCTCACTCATTGTGACTCCAAGCAGTTTACCGAAATAAAACCACAATAGAAGAACCAATACTACGCCCACCCACTCCCCAACCCATCTTCCAGTAGTCCAACCCCCTGCCCAGACAGGAAACCCCACACCACTTCAGACGAATGGTTATCCAACATCATCTTAAAAACTTCCAGTGATGGAGCATTCACAACTTCTGGAGGCAGGTCGTTCCACTGATTCATTGTTCTACCTGTCAGGAAATTTCTCCTGAGTTCTAAGTTGCTTCTCTCCTTGGTTAGTTTCCATCCATTGCTTCTTCTCCTGCCTTCAGGTGCTTCGGAGAATAGCTTGACTCCCTCTTCTTTGTGGCAGCCCCTAAGATACTGGAACGCTGCTATCCTGTCACCCCCTCCTCCTTCTTTTCATGATGCCTTTTCCAGACCTGAAACTCCCTTCTCCTTGTTTTCTTCTCCTCTCCCCCTTTTATCTAGCTAGGTGGTCTTCTTTGAGCATTAAGAAGAATTGATGCCTGCTGAGTACAGTAAAGGAGCTGCTCTAATTGACTTGGAAATGTTTCCCTTTGCCTCCAGCTTGTCACGAATCCTGCGCTACGTGCCGGGGTCCGACTGCAAACAACTGCTCCACCTGCCGAGACCCGTCTCTCGCGTTACTGGAAGGCACCTGCGTGGCTAATTGTGGGCAGCGGTTCTACGTTACGGATGGAGTTTGCAGAGGTAACAGCCACCCCGCCGTGCCGTGTCTTTAATTCACTTTTTAGCAAGGACAGCTGTTGAGATCCGTGCAGCTGTTTACCCCGTATCAGGGTTGGAGGGGGATCATCAGGTGTGTGTGTGTGTGTGTGGAAGCTTTCCCCCACCCCCCATCCTTCATTGCTGGTGAGAGTACAGCAGAGGTGGTATTCATCCGGTTTGGACCGGTTCGGGCGAATCGGTTGCGGCGACTGCAGGTGGCCCTGCCCCGACGGACGTAATGCCATCCTTTTTAGCCACATTTTCGAGGCCAGGTGCATGCATGAAAGGTGTGCGCACAAGCAAAGTGCATGCACGGAAGATGTGCTTGTGAGCAAAGTTCATGCGCGGAAGACATGCGCGTGTGAGCGAATCGGTGGTAAGAATATGTGAAACCCACCATTGGAGTACAGGGTAGTCCTCGACTTACGACCGCAATTGAGTCCTGTTGTTAAGTGAGACCCGGATCCGGGTCATAAGTCCCCTGTTTCAAGCAGGTCGTGACTTTGAACGGTCTCTAAGCAACCAGTCATAAGTCAAGGACCTGTATCGTGCTCACTTACACTGTCCAGAAGGAAGACATTGTATGGGGAGTCCTCGACTTGCGACTACAGTTGAGCCCCCTCAATTTCCGTTGCTAAGCAAGACCGTTGTTAAGTGAATTTTGGCTCATTTTATGTCCTTTCTTGCCACAGCGGTTCAGTGAATAACTGCAGTTGTTAAATTAGTTAGCACTGTTGTTCAGTGAATTTTGCTTCCCCATTGACTTTGTTTGTCAGAAGTTCGCAAAAAAAAGGGGGGGGATTACATGACCTCAGGACACAGCAACGGTCATAACTATGAAGCAGTTGCCAAGCACGTGAGTTTTGATCACATGTCCATCAGGATGCTGCGAAGGTCGTAAGTGTGAAAGTGCGACGGTCATAATAACATGTCACATTTTCAGTGCGGTTGTCACTTTGGGCGGTCACTAAACGAACTGTTGTAAGTCGAGGACTACCTGTAGGCGCGCAGGTGAGTGCCTGTGGGAGAGAGACAACAACAAACGCACAAAATGTATGAAACTACCCTTTTTTGGGGGAAGAGATTTTCATACCATCTCCGATCTCTTCACAACAAACTCGCCCACTTCTCTGTTTGCCTCAGGGTCAGGCATTCCTTTAAATTCATAGTCACCCTTCTGAGGGAAAACTTTGTTTAACCAGACGGCAAACACAACATTATCCGGAGTTAAGGGTGGGTTTATCAGCAGAAGAGGGCCACACCTGCTAGCGTAAATATTTGGTGTTAAAACGCCACTCCTTTTTCAAGCCCTCTTGGGGAATTTTAATAAGAGACAGAACCATTGGGGGGGGGGGACTCACCCTCATACAGCATTCATGAAAGGATAAATTAATTCCCCCCCCCCACCCCCCGGCGTTTTACCATTAGCTAGTACAGGTAGGGATGCGGTGGCTCAGTGGCTAAGACGCTGAGCTTGCCGATAAAAAGGTTGGCAGTTCAGCGGTTCAAATCCCTAGTGCCGCGTAACGGGGTGAGCTCCCGTTACTTGTCCCGGCTTCTGCCAACCTAGCAGTTTGAAAGCACGTTAAAAAATGCAAGAAGAAAAAAATAGGGGGCCACCTTTGGTGGGAAGGTAACAGCGTTCCGTGCGCCTTTGGCGTTGAGTCATGGCGGCCACATGACCACGGAGACGTCTTCGGACAGCGCTGGCTCTTCGGCTTTGAAACGGAGATGAGCACCGCCCCCTAGAGTCGGGAACGACCAGCACATGTGCGAGGGAAAACTTTACCTTTACCTTAGTACAGGTAAGTCCTCAGTTTACGATCACAAGCGAGCCCAAAATTTCTGCTGCTGAGCGAGACAGTGTGTCCCGTTTTACGACCTTGTTAAGTACATCGCTGCAGTTGTTCGGTTAGTAACACGGTTGTTAAGTGAATCTGCCTTCCACCCATTGACTTTGCTCGTCAGAAGGTCGCAAAAGGGGATCGCGTGACCCCGGGACACAGCGACCGTCATAAATAGGAGCCCGTTTCCAACTGTCTGAATTTTAATCCGATGATCAGGCATGGGATTTCTAGGCTTGGAAATAGAACTCTGCAAAACGAGTGGTAAAAAAGAAATTGGATTTAAATCTCACTGAGATTTGGCTAGGCCTAGTAAGCTACCGACCTGGGACCTAATTATAAGTAGTCCTTGGCTTACGACCACAGTTGCGCCCAAAATTTGTGTTGTTAAGTGAGACCAGTATTTAAGTGAGTTTTGCCCCATTTTATGTCCTTTCATTGCAGTCAAGTTAGAAACATGGTTGTTAAGTGACTCTACTTGTCAGAAAGTCGCAAAAAAGGGGACCATGTGACTCTGAGATGCTACAACCGTCTAAATATGAACCAGTCTGGATGTTGAACACATGACCACAAGGACACTGCAACGGTCACCAGTGTGAAAAACGGGCATTAGTCACTTTTCTCAGTGCCGTTGTAACTCGGGATGGTCCCTAAATGAACTGCTTTTAAGCCGAGGGCTACCTATGTCTAATCGGATTCTCCTCTTTGCCAGCTTGCCAGGAAGGTTGTGACAGGTGTTACCTGGATCGGCTGAGATGCTTGTCCTGTGCTTCAGGCCGAGTTTTGCTGGATGGCAACTGCCTGTCGGAATGTCCCCATGGCTACTACGCAGATGGTTCCCGCAAATGTAGAGGTAAGAGTCTTGGGAATTCTTTGTAAATAGGTTTTGGAGTATTGAACTTTTGTTTAACAGATTAACGGAGTTGGAAGGGACCTTGTAGGTCATCTAGTCCAACCCGTCCCCCAAAGCAGGAGACCCTACACCCATGATGGCAAACCTATCAGGTAGCCATGTCGCCTGGAACGCCAGCTCAGCTCCGGTGCGCATGCCGGAGCCTCTCTAGGAGTCTCTGGAGGCTGGGGACAGCAAAAAACGTCACTTCCAGCTCAACCGGAAGTTGGGAAATGGGCCATTTCGGGCCTCCAGAGGGCCTCCAAGGGGGTGGGGAAGGCTGTTTTCGCCCTCCCCAGATGCATAGAGAGGATCTGGAGCCAGGTGAGAAAGAAAAATGGACATACCGGGCCATCGCGTGCCAGGAGCGGAGGGGGGGAGGTTCACACGCGTGGGGTGTGGCACGTAGATTTATGGGTGTGGGCACACGCGCATGTGAACCTCCCCCACCCATTCCTGGCACGCGGTGGCAAAAAAGTTAGCCATCACTGCCCTACACCATTTCTGACAAATGTCAGTCCAGTCTCTTCTTGAAAGCTTCCAGTGGTGAAGCTCCCACAACTTCTGCAGGCAACTTCTGTTCCACTGGTTGATTGTTCTCACTGTCAGAAAATTTCTCCTAATTTCTAGGTTGAATCACTCCTCGATCGGTTTCCATCCATTATTCCTTGTCTGGCCTTCAAGTGCCTTGGAAAATAGCTTGACTCCCTCCTCTCTGTGGCAGCCCCTCAAATATTGGAAGACTGCTATCATGTCTCCCCTGGTCCTTCTCTTCACTAGACTAGCCATGCCTATAGTTCCTGCAACTGTTCATCACATGTTTTAGCCTCCTGTCTCCTCATCATCCTGGTTGCTCTTCTCTGCACTTTTTCTAGAGTCTCAACATCTTTTTTATAGTGTGGTGACCAAAACTAGATGTAGTATTCTAGGTGTGGTCTTACTAAGGCTTTATAGAGTGGTATTAGCACCTCTCTTGATCTTGATTGTATCCCTCTGTTAATGCAATTTACGATTGCATTGGCTTTTTTAGCTGCTGCTGCACACTGTTGGCTCATGTTTAATTGGTTGTCCACTAAGATTCCAAGATCCCTCTCACAGTTACTGCTATTAAGCCTGGTTTCACCCAGTCTATATGCGTACTTTTGTTTCTTCCAGTTATTGCTCATCTTCAGTTCTTACTCGTTGCAGCTCCTCTGGCAATCTCTGGTTAAGGATCCCACACTTGCATACAGTTACCCAGCCACGCTTACAGGTAGTCCTCAACTTACGACCAATCTCTTAGTGACTATTTAAAGTTACGACAGACATCTCCTCAAAATGTAATTTGTGCAATATTAAAGAGATGGACAATAGACAATAGAATAACAGAGTTGGAAGGGACCTTGGAGGTCTTCTAGTCCAACCCCCTGCTTAGGCAGGAAACCCTACACCACTTCAGACAAATGGTTATCCAACCTCTTCTTAAAAGTTTCCAGTGTTGGAGCATTCACAACTTCTGGAGGCAAGTTGTTCCACTGATGAATTGTTCTAACTGTCAGGAAATTTCTCCTTAGTTCTAGGTTGCTTCTCTCCTTGATTAGTTTCCACCCATTGCTTCTTGTCCTGCCCTCAGGTGCTTTGGAGAATAGCTTGACTCCCTCTTCTTTGTGGAAGCCCCTGAGATATTGGAAGACTGCTATCATGTCTCCCCTAGTCCTTCTTTTCATTAAACTAGACATATCCAATTCCTGCAACCGTTCTTCCTATGTTTTAGCCTCCAGTCCCATCATCATCTTTGTTGCTTACGATCAGGATTCCAACAACTGCCTGTCCGGCGGTCATGTGACCAGAATTTACTATTTTTTTTTGCTGTAAACTAGTGATGACTTCCGGTTTCTGGCAAAAATACCCCCCTGGGGGACAATGGGTTTCCTTAACGACTGCTGTGTTCGATTAATGTCCAAGAGGATTCTTTGAAAGACCATGATAGTTTGCTTAACACTGCCCCACCCCTCCCAAAATGAAAAATGGGTCAGTCACATGATGACCTGGTTAATAACGGACTTCGTAAATCGAGGACTACTTGGCCTGTCGCTGATAGGAAGCAACTGTAACCCTTCAGACATTCTTAAGAGAACGTCTGTTTCTCCGGAGAAACTCGGAGAAATTTCAATTTCTAACTAATTCATTGAACCTCCTTGGTGGAGAACCTTTGTTAGGATATGGTTTGAGCCTAACAAGTTGTCCAGGCAATATATGTGTTCTGTGACTTTAATATGAATATGTATTGTGTGACTTTAAAGTTTTACTGCTGATTCATTGTAATGCTGAGTCATGCTGTAATTATATAAACACTGGTTGTGAACGTATTTAAGAAAGGTACTGTAATGTATTCAGTTGATGATAAGCTACCATAGTGTGTGGAGTTGCAATCATTGTGCTATCATCGGTTGGATGGATCTGCTACCATCGTGGTTTGTGAACCAGAGTGAGTTTGTTATTCTAACCAACTACTGTTTGTGTGGTAAGAAGATTTTGTATCACTGGACTGATTTAACTGGCAAAGACTTGGATTGATTTAAAGACTATGAGATTGTTTTTTCACTATAAAGTAAACTTTTGATAAACCAGTTTGCACATCTCTTATTCATTGCTCTCAGCAACGTTTCTCTGTGCTCTACACTCTGCTGGTTGGCAGAATGATATGTTAGCAGATGGTAGCAGAGGATACAACAATATCCTTAACAACCTTAAAAAGTTATTTTGGATCAATAAGCATCTACGATTATCTATATTTGAAAATATCCTCGACCTATGACTATGGTTGAACTCAACATTTCTGTTGTTAAGTGAGACAGTTGGCTCAGGGTCATGTGATTTCCCCTTTTGTGAACTTCTGACACGCAAACTCAATGGAGGAAGCCAGATTCACTTAACAACCGTGTTGCTAACCTAACCATTGTGGCGATTCACTTAACAACTGTGAAGCAAGCCAGGCCGTAAAATGGGACAAAGCCCACTTTAAAAAGTGTTTCACTTAGCGACAGATTTTTTGGGCTCAGTTGTGGTCGCAAGTCGAGGACTACCTGTATAGGTATGTGCGTTCGTATGCACCGTACGTGTATGTGTGCAGGTAATAGCTTCATGCTTGGTTGTGTGAAAACACTACATGATCGATGCTTTTAGCTTCATTGAAATCAGCGCTGGTATTAAGTGGTCAGGGAGTAGAAAAATTTTATTTAAAAACAAGCCGGCTTGCTGTTTAGTGTTGCTGTTTTGCATAACGAATAGATCCTTTGCTTAAATCAGCTGCTGTACTCTTCCTGGAATACTGATGAGCTGAACAGGGCTCCATCTCTAAATAAGAGTCTTCCTTCATATTATCTGGTTAAATAGCACTTGGGTGCAGGAATCGAGGTAGGAGGGAGGTTTTTGGAGGAGCCAATCCATACGCAAGAGCCGTGGTGGCGCAGTGGTTAGAACGCAGTATTGTAGGCTGACTCTGCCCACCGCCAGCAGTTCGATCCTGACCAGCTTGAGGTTGACACAGCCTTCCATCCTTCTGAGGTCAGTAAAAATGAGGAGCCAGATTGTTGGGGGCAAATAGGGTGACTCTGTAAAACTGCGTAGAGAGGGGCTGTAAGCACTGTGGAGCAGTATATAAGGCTAAGTGCTACTGCTTGTGAAGGAAGGAAGGAAGGAAGGAAGGAAGGAAGGAAGGAAGGAAGGAAGGAAGGAAGGAAGGCAGGCAGCCATAGTGGCACATTGGTTAGAATGCAGTATTGCAGACTGACTGTTAAGGATATTGTTGTGTTAACCAACCAGCAGAGTAAGTGCACAGAAAAACGGTACTGAGAGCAATGAATACAATACATACAAACTGATTTAACAAAGCTTTTATTCTGTAGTGAAAAACAGTTGCATAGTCTTTTAGTCAATCCAAGTCTTTAGCCATTCAAATCAATCCGAAGTTACAGATATCTTCTTACCAGACAAACAGCAGTTGGTAATAAACAGCAATTCAACACTGGTAACAAATCACGATGGTAGCATATCCATCCATGATGAGAACTCCTTCATACATGATGAGAGCAGTTCCAATCAACAGTTCCAGTCAAGCAGCAAGTCAAGCAATGATGAGAGCAGGTCCAACAATGACTATAGCTCGGCTTCCTTCTTATATACAGTTTACACTAGTAATTATCCACTTAAGATAAGTGAAGTCAGCAGTGCAATGACTCAACAGTACAATTATGATAATTGCAGTCAGCAGTCATTAGTCATTACAATGACTCAGCAGTACAATTACTCAGAATTACATCTTAGAGTTACAGAATACATTTAAAGTTATAGCACACATATATTGCCTGGACAACTTGTTAGGCTTATACCATATCCTAACGCTAACTCTGCCCACTCCAGCAGTTCGATCCTGACCGGCTTAAGGTTGACACAGTCTTCCTTCTTCCAAGCTCAATAAAAATGAGGAGCCAGATTGTTGGGGGCAAATAGGGTGACTCTGTAAACTGCTTAGAGAGGGACTGTAAGCACTGTATAATTGCTATTGCTTGGGAAGCTATTGCTTGCCGTGTCATATAATATATATACCCACATATATTATATGACACGGAGAAACAACGGAGCCCAGTTAGGATGTATACTTGTCCATGGCGAGAAAAACGAATCTTACGAGTTTACCAGACGGATGGCAAAACTGTTACAGAATCTGGCGGCCCTGCTCGAAATACCCCTGTTTCGCCAAAAATAAGACCGGGTCTTATTTTCTTTTGGGCCCCAAAATAAACACTAGGGCTTATTTTCGGGGGGGGTGTCTTACTTTCCCACCCTCCACCCCCATGTACAGGAGGCCCACTTCTGCTTGCTCACGGTGGGGCAGGAGGCTGCGTAGTGTGCCAGGGCCATTCAGCCATTCACGTCCCGACACCTGCCTTGCCTCGCGATTGCGGCAACACAGTTGACCAGACAGTATGGGTGGCTGGCTGGCTACACAGGCTCATAAGTAGGACTTATTTGGTGGTGTTGGGGGTGGTGGTGTAGAGCTTATATTAGGCACACACCAGTGGTGGGTTCCTCCCAGTTCAGTCCGGTTCAGCCGAGCCTGTAGTGGTGATGATATGATGTCACCAAACCGGTTCTCCCCCCTCGCCCTCCCACCCACCCTACCTTTTATTTGGTCCCACCCCAAATCTATTGCTGCCTCCTGAGTCCCAGCTGATGACTAGAGGGAAAAAAACTGTTTAAACTCTTGCCGCGGGGCTTCAAAGGGCCGTCCTACAGCTGATCAGTGTTAAAAGCAAACAAATGAGTTGGGTCGTAAGTGCGAGGACTGATCGTAAGTGCGAGGACCTTCCAGAAATGTCTCTGACTAGCTAGCCACGCCCACCTAGTCACATGACCTCCAAGCCACACCCACAAAATAAGCCACGCCCACAGAACCGGTAGTAAAAATATTTAGAACCCACCCCTGGCACACACGTAAAAAAAATCATGCTAGGGCTTATTTTCAGGATAGATCTTATTTAATTTTTTTATTTATTAAACAGGTTACTTCGAAATTTCCTCCCAGAAGGGAGGAAGGGAGCAACAGAAACAGGTTGTAGAGTGGGTGGGTGAGGTCTTTAACAATAGAAGACCTCCCAATTCTGTTACTCTGCTGTTGTGTTATTCTAAGATCCAAATCGTGAAAGGTTTGATTGACATTTTCTTTCTCTCTTCATTCCCAGTTTGCCACAGTTCCTGCACCGGCTGCACAGGACCTTTGCCCACTCAGTGTACCTCCTGCTCCTTTCCCCAGGCCTTCTACCAGGGCCGGTGTCTCCTCGCTTGTGGAGAGGGCTTTTATCAGCACCACAACCTCTGTAAAGGTAAGCCATATGTCCCCGTCTTTTATAGGCCAACAAGATAAAATCTCTCCCATTCGCTCTCTCCTGCGATTTCAATGTTTGGAAAGTTTTTCATTACTCCTGAGAATTTTTCAGATAAGCTCTTAGCGCTCCTAGACAAACCTCGACAGCCCCAAACAATCCATGCTGAAACTGGAGTTGGCAAATGGTTTATTGGTGCTGCAAGTTAGCTCCGAGGCAAACCGCCTCTCAGCGCCTTTCGTAGGTCCGCACAGGCCCCGCCCGTCCCACCCACAGTGAACAGCTGATCTAGTCTCAGCTCAGTGAGGCATTCAAATGGGCTGCCAAACATCCCACATCGGCCCATGACGTCATCGTCCGCCGTCGCCGCTAACTCCTCCGTTTGCCTCCATTTGTCGTTGATCCTTTTCCTGGCGCGGCCGTCCGCCTAACACCCGGTGCCACCATCACCACACTCTGTGAAGAGTCTTCCCCATTCGGCCTCCAGGTAACTTGAGCTTGCATTCCTGCGACCTCCTCTCCGCCTCCCATATGCATTGTCGAGCAGGAGACTGAGCTCGACATAAGCCACATTTGCAGTTGAACTGAAATAACGTCTTAGAAAGAGTCTCCCGGGATTCGGTGACACCCCCAAAAAAGAAACGGTCGTGTGATGTTGAGAATGTTGATGGGCCAGGACAATAATGCTGGAAGAAGAAGGAAGAAAACAGCTGCCAATATCAATTACAGGAGTCCAGGCAGTTCAAATGAATATAGATTTATTGTATGCAAATGCTCTATACAAGAATCTGAACTACTAACAGTCAAAGCCAATTGGCGGTAGATAAGAATAAAAGGAATTTGAGGTGGGCTGGACTTAGATCTTTTGTGGGAGTGAAGGGACTCAAGACTGATGACGAGTTTGACCCTGCCCTCGGGCTCAGCTTTGTCATTTCCTACAGTTGATGTCATTCTACTGACTGGAAAAGGCTATATTAGATACAGTCTGAATACCTTCCAGATGGGTAGACTTCAACTCTCACAATTCTTAGCAATGGCCAAGCTGACCAGGGAATTGTGGAAGTTGAACTCAGTATATATGGAAAACATTGAGACTTGGCATTGAATATAGATCTCGGGCCATAATGGCGAACCTATGGCACGCATGCCACAGCTAGCACTCAGATCCCTCGCTGCGGGCACGCGAGGCATCACCCGGCTCAGGTCCACTGTGCATGCGCACACGTGCCTCCCACTGACCCACTGATTTTTGAGATGCGTAGGTGGCGGGGCACATGTGGGAGATGCGTCCGCATGTGCAGGGGGTCGTTTGCGCATGCGCGTGGGGTGGGGGGGGAGTGGCACGCACGTTCTGGAAGTGTGGAAATGGGCCCGTTTCTGGCGTCCGGAGACATGGGGGAGGCCATTTTTACCCTCCCAGAGGCTTGAGGAAAGTCTCTGGAGCCTGGGAAGGGCAAAAATGGGCCTACAGGAAGTCCGGAAATAGGCCCTTTTCTGGACTCAGGAGGGCCTCCAGAGCCCAGGGGAGGCCGTTTTCGTCCTCCCAGCGGCTCGAGGAAAGTCTCTGGAGCCTGGGGAGGGTGAAAAATGCATCCCCCGCCATGGTAGAGGTTGCTAAAATTTTTCAATCCCATCCTTCACACTGTCACGCGCACGTACGGGTACACGTGCTTTTGGCACATGAAGAGAAAAAGGTTATCCATCACTGATTTGGGTGCCTCCCAAAAAAGAATCCACCTCGTTTCTTCCATAGAGAGAGCCTCATTTAGGATGAATTTCATTATTGAATCGAATATGTCTGTGGAGATTCTCAGTCATCCAGGTCATGGTTGTCTCAAAGGTGCTTTTTCAAAACCGGGCTATATTTTTTTTCCTTGAAGAAGTTTCCCTTCTCCTCCAAGAAGCTTCTTCAGTTCTGAATCAGAATCTGAAGAAGCTTCAGTCAGAACTGAAGAAGCTTCTTGGGTGAGAAGGGAAACGCCTTCCTCAGCGAAAAAATACAGTCCATTTGCCTTTTGAAAAAAGCACCTTTGAGATAGAATCAAACATTCTCAGCTGTTCTAATAAAGTCTCTTTGTTTTCAAACTGTTTACATTTAATACTAACTACTTGGGCCTGGATCACAACATTCCCGACGCTTCTTCTGCAGGTTGCCATTCATCCTGCAGGGCCTGTGTTGGCCCAGAACATTCACACTGTACGCGATGCACGAACCCAGAGGAGAAGCTTCAACCATACCTGAGCCTTGAGGAGAGGCCCGTCGGCGCCTGCTTGCCTCAGTGCAGAGCCCAGTTCTACAGTAACGAAGACGGGATTTGCAAAGGTGAGCGAAGATCTGTTCTCTCCCAAGCTGATAGCACTTAGCAATAGCAATCAGACTTATATATCGCTTTACAGTGCATTTACAGCCCTCTAAGCAGTTTGCAGAGTCAGCCTATTGCCCCCAACAATCTGGCTCCTCATTTTACCCATCTCGGAAGGATGCAGAGGTGGTATTCCGCCGGTTCTGAGCGGTTCTGGTGAACCGGTAGCGGAAATTTTGAGTAGTTCCGGCAAATTCCACCTCTGATTGGCCCCGTCCCTGATCTATTCGCTGCCTCCCGAGTCCCAGCTGATCAGAGACCCAGTTGATTGGCTGGGTCTTCTTTTGTTGCCGTACACAGGAGAACAGAGCTGGAAAGCAAGTTAACGGGGTGGGGAGGGAATGGTGATTTTACAGTATCTTTCCCCTGGAGTAGGGTGGGAATGGAGATTTTATAGTATCCTCCCCCCTGGAGTGGGGTGGAAATGGAGATTTTGCAGAATCCTTCTCCTGTCACGCCCACCAAGCCACGCCACGCCACGCCCACAGAACCGATAATAAAAATTTTTGAATCCCACCACTGGAAGGATGGAAGGCTGAGTCAACCTTGAGCCTGGTGAGATTTGAGCTTCCAAATTGCAGGCAGCCGGCAGTCAGCAGAAGTAGCCTGCAGTACTGCATTCTAACCACTGCGCCACCACTGTGGCTCATGATGATACTGATATTGAAAAAGAGAAATTCAAATTGCGAGAAGGGTGAGGTTTAAGTCGTTTAAGATGGAGAAGCTAAGATTGAATTCCTCTGCGTGTCTTCGGGCCTCCTACTGCAAAGAAAAAAGTGGTTTTGTGGTTGATTTAGAGCAAATTTGAGACTTTTTTTGCTGCCAAACAACACATAGGTGTTGTTCTTGGCCTTACCCATGTTAGACCTGAGTGTCAGGGTTCCAAGTAATACATCCCATTCAGTAAGAACTCTGAGCCAGGCAAATTCCTCAAAGAACATTTTATTGGGACATACCAAGTTAGCACGTTCCTGGTGAAAAAACGGCTCTAAGTCCCTGCCGGTTTTACACCCAATTAAAAGTAAAACTTTGTCCCCCCCCCCCCCCCCCGAGTCTCCAGTCACATGGCCCAATCAGCATACTCCCAGCATAGGAGCCTGAGTGGCGTAGGAGGCTAATGCCTCTTACTAAGGCAGCATTTAACATCCAGCTGCCTGCAATTACTGCGAGTTCAATTCTCACCAGGCTCAAGGTCGACTCAGCCTTCCATCCTTTCTAAGGTGGGTAAAATGAGGACCCGGTTTGTGGGGGCAATAAGCTGACTTTGTATAAAATATACAAAAGTATGAAGGCATTGTAAGCCGCCCTGAGTCTCCGGAGAAGGGCGGCGCTTATATATATATATATATAAATAAATAAATAAATACAGTCCAGTTGCTAGGTAACCTCAGTCTCCACCTCTCGAACACCAGCACCAATGTCCTTGGTTCCCAGGGCAAAGAATTTTATTTAGGCTACAATACCCCAGCTATCTCTACCCCACCCCCCCAAAATCCCTGGTCCCCTTCGCTCCAGGCTGTGCCAGCCCTGAAGCCGTGAGAAGAGAAACCTCCCTAGAGAAAACTACCAAAAGAAAATGGCCACAGTTCAGCCAACTTCAGCATTGACACTGAGGTAGTCTGAAGGCTGATGACAGTTAGAGGTGGGTTACTCTTCTGATAAGGAGAATGAAGAATAGTTGGTTGGGGGGAAACATTCCCCCTCTC